CCATCGTTCCTCACCATCACAGAGTGTGACATTATAACTCACTAACAATACATTTACAATGCATTATATATAGGCTTGATTGAAAGTGCTATTGAAAAGCTGTAAATATTTATTTCTGTATTTGCACAAGTGAAAACTGACCTTTTGTTAAAGGTTATTTCAGGACCAAGAAAGTCACCTTTATTAATGCACTAAACAAAATGTTTGGGAGCTATTAATGCCTGACTGTGTTCTTTGTGTCCAGTTTACAGTGTGGGAATAATTGTCTCTGTGCAGTGGGAGCTGGTCTGATGGCTGGTTGTTGTGTACGGTTGCTCTTAGTTTGTTGTTTGGTCTGGTCTTGAGCGTCATGGTACCAGGGTCATTGAAGTGTGTGTACCCATGCTGGTGGACGGAAAAATTTATCAAGTGTGAAGCACCCTGTCCTGGCAACTTAGACCAGCAGCTGTTAATAGTCTAACTTGGCATTTAATGAGTGTTTACCCATGTAAATAAACCTTGCTAAGCAGGTTAATTTATTTGTGATGGCCATTGAGCTATGAAAGGTACATAATGTGATGTCCCTCAAACGTGGTGAGATATATTTGGGGATATACTGTATGTGGTATATATATTCTGTTCAGTGAGGTTTTTTAGATGTCTCTTTTAAATGACATTTGTACTCCATAACAGCATGCCACATACACTTTCAAGCAAAAGTATTAACACCCCTGCTCATTCTTTACATTGGCGATTTTTGAATAATAGGAATTGTCTAAATATGTTAAAACATATATAAATATATAAAATATTATTTATATTCCCTATATTATTTTTTATTTTTATTACATAGCTTTAATCAAAATAGCCAACTATTTAAAAAAGCTAGTTTTTATTAATTATAAAACTTTTTTCCTAAATAAATTAATACTTTTTTTAGCAATGATGCATTAAATTGCCATTTACAATGTTACAAAAGATTTCTATTCAAAATAAATTAAATTTTAAAATGTGTTAAACAGTTGCTTTAAATTGAAATAATGTTTCACTGTTTTTTTTTTTTTTTATCAAACAAGAGACTTCTTTCAAAAAATATTTTGGGAAAAAAAAAAAACAATCTTGCCTTCCCCAAACTTTTCAACAGTAGTGTATATTTTTTTGTGGTGTTATTATTTATATTTAATAAAAGTAATTTCAAGCATTTAAGCTTCAGGCCTTTAGATCTAATAGTCTTTAAAATTACAAGAAAACTAATTTAGTTCAAATTGTCCAAACATTTAAATTATCGTTTCAGTGATCTTTTTTATTTTATATTTTTTGGAGTTAGTATGGAAAGCTTCTGTCAAGTGAGACTGCAATTTGTTATGAATTTTTAACATTATGATTTTTATTATTGATTTTGGTGGTTGAGTTATTGAACACTATTGGAGGCTGATCTGTTTAGGACTTTGGTTTGTTCTCAGGAACTATAATTGTTCTTAAATTAGAATAATAGCACACAGCAATACCATTTCTGTACTTTGAGATGCATTGGGTGGATTTGTTAGGTTTACTATTCCTCCGAATCCTATCAGCCATTGTTGTAGTGTGACTCACAGTTCATAACAAGATCTGCTGATCTAAGTTTAACCTACAGTACAATATAATGAAACCATGCGTCAGACTATTGCTCCTAAATAAATATTTTCAGCCTTGATCAAATAACACTGAAAATGTTCTGCATTATTGCCTGAGTTGATAGTTTCAGGAGAAGAATAAAGTATGGAGCTGATGAGTGTTTAAATGAGTCTTGCTCCAGGAATGTTTCTGTGTGGTTTATAGCTGGGTGTTGCGGGCAGGTCAATATCTGGGTGTTGGATCCAGGTGCTGGCTGGGTAGAGTCTCTGCTCTCTCTGTACTGAGTGTGACGCAGATGGAAATGTCTGCTTTGCATTTGATTCTTTAACACCATACTTAACTCAAAGAGTTTTTTTGTGCTGCTTTTGAATTGTTGGAAGCATTATCATGTTCTCTAGTGTCCTTCTCACCAGCAGTACAGCAATAATGTAAATGTAGTGTTAGTTGTCCTAATGAAAATAAAAAATAGATTCCCTTAAAAGTGTAAACTATCATAACATTCTTTTTTTTTTTTTTTTGGAGCATCCTGACCAGTCAAAAATGGTCTGAATTTTGGGACGGCACTATGTGTTTGTCAAACCAATGAAATTACGATTTTGTTTGGTAATTGTAGTGGTGCAGAAATCACACACTGCAGCTTTAAAATGGGCAACATGTTAATGTAATGAAAAATGGGAGTTTCCATTATGCATATATTTAGTTTATGATTAATTATATTGCTCATTGCTCTGTAAAATAGTTAATTTCACCTTTGGACCAGGTCATTTGTATTGCATGATCATATTTTTTATCATGCAATATGAAATATTGTAAATGTATCTTTGGACCACATTTTTATTGCATGCTAATATTTTTTTATCATGCAATAAAATATTTTCTTATATCGTACTAAAAATGCTTTGCTTCAAACATGTCGGCAGGGAAGGATCTGCTGGTTGTGACTATAATAAATCCATTGAGTTATTTATAAGCTGGAGTATGCTGACTTGTTGATAATAACAGAATATGATGATGGTAATGGTTGTTATGCCGAGTTCACACTGCACGATTTTCAAAGTCGTCGGGTCACCGTGGTTTTCACACTGCACGACTATCTGAGGTAGCAGTCAGTCGCTGCTGTGTTCACATTGCACGATGGATCGGCGACAGGGGGTTACATATTGCATGACTTCACAATAGGAAGAATCGCCGACAGCTCTGTCTGGTCCGCAAACTACGTTTCACAACAAAACACACGCGCAACGTGATAAGGAAATAACCGTGCATCAGACCGGAGTTCTCGAGCAAGACTGAATTATTAAAAAAATATATATAAAGCCCGCAAATTGTCTGTGAGCTGATTTCCAGCTACAAGGAGAAAAAGAAAAACAGATTATGCAGGAGGGAGATGCAGGGAACAGGGATTGGGTGTTCTGCAAAGAGAGTTGGAGGTAAATCATTTTGCAGTAACTGTTATGCTGATGTTGTGGCTGGTCAAGCAAATGTTTGTGCTTGTTTCTGTATGATATAATTGTTCATATATCTATTAAAATACTGATATTCTGGTCTATAACTCCTCCCAGAACTTCCCTCTGCCCTGTATCTTGGTCTCTCATTGGCTGTAGGTCATCGCCGATGTAGTTTTCAGTCAGAAATCATTGCACACAGCGTGATTGTGAATCGGCGACAGCTCCAGATATTTAGCATGCCAAATATTTCATGGGCGTCGGCGACGTGTCTGCGATTCCCTCAGATCGCGTCTTTGATAATTCACACTGCGTGATTGTCACTCGCGTGAACGAGCCTCCGATATTTGCCTCCGATTTCGGGCATTTGTCGGCGATTTCGCAAAACCTGTCGGCGAGTGAAAAATCGGGCTAAAATCGTGCAGTGTGAACTCGGCATTAGGGCTGTGCAATTAATCGCACCAATCACGGAATCACCAATTACCAATCACGGAACCGGCTTTACTGTCGAGATGCACATGACAATCGCATGCGATTAATTGCAAAGCCCTAGGTTGTGTTTTATCTCCATTGTGATAAAATAAAAGATTTCCCTGGAGAAGAGATCTATTATAGCAAAGATAAGATTGTGGAAGAAAGTCAGTTAGACCATGTGATGACAATATAAGCTGGGAAATAGCCAAAACATTGGTTGAATATAAATCATCAGTTTATAAATCATTATTTGATCCTTCTATAGACCTTATGTAGCTCCACCCCTTTTTTCAGCACTGTGCTCGTTGTCTTCTAACTTCTGTATGCATTTCTAGGTAAGGTCGTACGAATTTATGAATTAACCTGACATTTTAAAGTCTTCCCGGTCTACTGACATTTATGACATCCGCTTTGAACATTACAATGCTCAAGAAAACTTTCGTTAACTCTACAATAAGTAAACTTCACTTTAACTTACCAGTGAATTACTCTTCAACAGTGATGCTATAGAGCTACTGCAAAAACGGAAGTTCAAAGACAAAATTTTAAAGATGGCTTTGTGCTTGTTTCTCCGATGCATAAGGTCTATATTAATTTGGTTTTGGAATGTCTTAATTGATATTGATTATTTATTGATAATAATTGTCTATATTAATTGAAATTTTGGAATCACTGCAAAGAGAATCAAAATCCTGCGTCATTCCTGGTGAAAAAAGAAGTGCACTTAATTGTGAATGTATTAAATGTATTCAAATTCTAAAAGTATATTTAAAAAAACTGTTTTTGCAGATATAATATTAATGAAATTAAAAAAGGCCATTTAAGTGTACTTTCAGAGAGTATTTTCATGACTTTTTTTGACATATAGGCCCGGTTTCACAGATGGGGTTTAGCTTAAGCCAGGACTAGGCCATAGTTCAATTAGGATTTTAAAGTAATTTTTATAAACATGCCTTAGAAAAAACATTACTGGTGTGCATCTTGAGACAAAACAAGGGCACTGACATATTTCAAGATCAATCAGTACAAGTTTCTTTCAGTTGAAACTAGGCTTAAGCTTAGGCTTAGGCTTTAAGTCTGTGAAACTGGGGGATAAATATGTACTTAAGTCCTACTTAAGTGGGTCACACTAAAGCAAACTGAAGTTCAGTTAATTGCGTTTAATTTAAATTTAATCTATTTTTATTTGCTGAAAACATGCACAAAAAAAAACATTCAGTAATGTTATATTCATTTAAAGTATATTATTTTCATAATAAGTATGTTTTATATATTCATAATAAGTATATTTTTAAAAGTATGTTCAAGTTTACTTCTTTTTCACAAGTATCCAAATGTGTTCTGAGCATGTAAACACCTATTATTATTACTTTATATACTGGTACTTTTGTGTTTCAAACACAGTGTACCTGTAACTTAGAATTGTTTATTTTGAGTTTGTCATTGAGTATGTCATTTTTCATTTTTATTCCTCTGTTCCCACAGTTCTATGTGCTGATCGAGTGGGCCAGATGACTAAGACATATAATGATATAGATGCTGTGACACGTCTCCTGGAGGAGGTAAGCCGCGGGAAGTGGGAGGATGGGTCATAGCTGTCATTTAAAAATAAAAAATAGAGTGAAGGATTTTTTTTTTTTTTTTGGTGTAAAGCGTGTCTCGTGTGTTGTGATGTAGGTCTAACAGTGTACCATAATAGTTCATGATTGCATGAGTATCATCCACAGTCTTGCATTCCTGCACTGGATGATGTTCCCATACGTTTTAGAGAGATTATAATTATTGTGAACTAGATATAATATCCATGATGGGTTTTTTTTCACGACCCAGGATTTTCATCTATTTATATTCAGTTTCTGTAAAACGTAGTAATAAAGCCTCTGAAAGTCTCATGCTATCCAGATTAGCACAGTTTGATAGTGAATGTAAAGCTAAACAGGAAACTTATGGGGTCACTTTGTGTTCCTTTGTGTGTCAATTCAGAAAGAGCGGGATTTGGAGTTGGCGGCTCGTATTGGCCAGTCCCTGCTGAAAAAGAACAAAACCCTCAGCGAGAGGAACACCTTCCTGGAGGAGCAGGTGGAGCACATACGAGAAGAGGTAAGAGAAGAAAACCGAAAGGTGAGACAAGCCTGTTGGCTAATGTCATCTTTTCTTTCTAAATTTAGTGTCAATAGTGGTGCCCGAAATTACACACCCTCTAAAGAAGAATGTTTTTAAACAGCACCAGATTAGGGTTGTTTAAGCTTGCAAAAATAGTAGAACCCTTTTTGATACTAAAAAGACCCCTTCTGAAAAGGTTCCATGAAGAACCATAGTTTGAAAAGGGATGTATAGAACCTTAATGGTTCTTTAAAGAACTTTTAATCAATAGGTTCATTAATAATTATTTAATATTAGTTTTATTTTATTATTTATTCATTTTATGTTTTTATCTGCATTGTCGTATAATACCTTGAAACCTCTATTAGGGTTTTCCATAAAAACAATTTAAAAAACAATGACAGCAACTGTCAGTTAGGTATTTATATTTTTATTGACATGGGAAGTTGTACCAAAAATGATGGTGTGCTAACAACCATCAAGCTAACAACACAACTAAGTCATTAGTTGAGTGCATAAATTATAATTAACATTGAATATAAATACATCAAGAAATAAAACATTATTGATAGGAAACTGTCCAGTCACACTTTGTAAGTTAAAATTTATGGACATTTTAAGAAGGATATAAAGTACCTGTTGACAGTCTGTGAAGGTGGAGCTCCAGAAAATCAATAATGAGGTGGCTTTGAAAGTATTTATTCATTTATTCATTTATTTTAAGAAGCAAAAAGGCGGGAATAAATAACTTAAAGAACCATGTCAGCATAAAATGGTTGTTAGTATTACTAAGTACAGTATTACTATGTGTAAAGAACCTTTAAAGAACATTCTTTTTTAGCAGCATAAAACATTTGATCTAAAAACATTCTTGTAAAAAACGACACAGTCTATTTGAGTCTACAGTTATTGTTGCATGCATACAGTGACTGTTTGTATGCGTCCATGCAGGTGTCTCAGCTGCGTCACGATCTGTCAATGAAGGAGGAACTCCTGCAGTTCTACACAAGTGCAGCTGAGGAGAGTGATGGAGAGTCTGCTTCTAGCACACCGTGAGTCCATGAGTCCAATAATAATAGAACTCCACACAATCTGAGGTATCATTCATGCATTAATAAAGAATGAATGATACCTCAAATTGTGTGGAGTGCTATTATTTTTCTATTTTTGCCTGAAAATTGTACAAATCTGTTATTTTTAGTGAGGAGATTTCTATGTACTAAAGGAGGCACATCTGTTTGTGATTTTTCTTTGCAGTATTCGCAGAAATGACTCGTCTTTTACGGTCCCGAATTACCTCCCTCTAGATTCACTACAGAAGAAACTCTTTGACCTGGAGGAAGAGAACATCGTCCTGCGATCAGAGGTGAGAGAGTGAGGCCTGGCCTCACATCCTTCAGCTGCTCATAAGAATGCTTTGCATAATATTATTCGAAACAGCCTCCAGTCAAACTTATCAGAGGTATATCACATTTCCAAGACAAACAAAATATGTAACAGCTTCATTCCCAGATAAAGATATTTGCCAGTTATCTGTGCGCTTTAGTAAAATAAAACTTGGAAATAATAATAATATGATAACTTATAACCAAATTATAAACACACCCACAAAGATATGTGGTTAGTTAAAAATAAAATTTGTATAACTTAATACCTTTTAAAAGTTAAAAAAATTTAAACATTTTAGATTATATGATTATAGTTTTTGACACTGCAAAAGAGTCAGAGGTAAATTCACTGTCACATCAGAATGTCTCTCTTTCTTGATGTACTGTAACTGTAGATCTGCAGTGACGTGTGTGGGGCATCTGACCCCAACAGACAGGTGGAATTGCATGCCTCACTGACGATGAAATCTTCATCCACACCTACACAAGACCTATTCACAACAAAACATTTTAGAAACTTCAGTACCAACAGATGAATACAAATCCAAAGACATCACAGTATAATATTTCTCAGTTTATGTGAACCCCATTAAACTGGGCCATGACATGAAAACAACAAGCTTGTGTATCAACTCCATAGCTTTGCCTTTTGCTGTAGATTAAATTCAGCCTACATTGTTTTGCTCTAAAACACGGGCACTAGACACAACCTGTTCTTCTGACAAGAACACTGAAACAAAGAATGAGTCTTGTAAAATGATGCCTCCATTGTTTATTCAGATCATTCCTTAACATGTGTGTGTGTGCGTGTGTGTGCGTGTGTGTGTGTGCATGCGTGCATGTGTGCGTGCGTGCATGTGTGTGCGTGTTTATAGGCAAATCACTTGGAGACAGAGACCATCTCGTATGAAGAAAAGGAACAACAGCTTGTAAATGACTGTGTTAAAGAACTCAGTGAGTAGATCCACCTCAACGATCATATTCCCTCCCAGTGTAAACTTGATATTACATAATCATCCTACACTAGTTAAATTCATGTATGCTATTCATTACCTTATTGGTCCATCATTGTAATATAACAGTTTAGTTATTAATGGCTTGAACTGCACATACTGAGGGGCTAATGTATAACTTGCTTTGAATGGGGATTGGGGACTTTCCATGGTTTTTGTTTACTAAGGGTGCGTTTGACACATGAAGTCTATCTCTTCCCCCTTAGGAGATGCTAACATACAGATCTCTACGATTGCGGAGGAGCTGGCTAAGAAAACAGAGGACGCCTCTCGGCAGCAAGAGGAAATCACACACCTCCTCTCTCAGATCGTGGACCTGCAGAAAAAAGCCAAATCTGTGAGTTCTCCTCACTGTCCAGTAGACGTGATTAATGCATGGCTCTCTGAAATGCTTGTTTCAGATTGGTCAGTATAACACGGAATTGGACAATATAACACAGAATACAATCTTATAAATATAAAACTATATTTAAAAACTTTGCAAGATAAAACCATTTAACACAACCTGCTAAATAGCCAGTTACAGGAATACATCACCTGCTATTTATTATTATTATTATTATTATTACTGATACATTTTAATAGTAATAATATTAGTATTGTTGGTAATAATTTTTTGTATTATTTATTTATTTCACTAGCTTGACTAGTTTTCTTTAGTGTGATATAAGAACCAAAATTAATGCTGCTGTGTTCAATGTTCATTGCTAATAAGAAATGTATTAGTGAAGCATAATCACAACAGTTTTTTATTTGGTTCTCATTTAGTTTAGTTTGTTGTGCTGTCAGTTATAGGAAGCAAAGTTCTGTCTATGTATTCATGTGTAATGTTTGTTATTTTTCAGTATGCACTAGAAAATGAAGAGCTCACCCAGCACCTGGGAGCTGCTAAAGATGCCCAAAGAGCACTAACAGCAGAGGTAACACGTGCGCACACACTCAAACGCACCAGCATATTCACATACTGTAATTCAACTAAAATGCCGCCATGTAACAAGTAACCATAAAATTGATGTGTATTATCTTTTGAATTGTGTGATTTGAATTGAAACTGTGATCTGACTGATTAAATGAATTTTACTGCTGTTTTCACCTGCTATCAGTCTCTTTATCTCAGTCTTTATCTGTTTCTTTCTGTCTGTAGCTGAGGGAGCTGGAGGATAAGTATGCTGAATGTATGGAGATGCTTCATGAAGCTCAGGAGGAACTGAAGAACTTCAGGAATAAAACGCTGCCTCTAAGTACACCGCGACGATTCCACTCACTCGGTCTCTTCCCCATGGTGAGAAACGGACAACAAGAAAATTATTATTGTTTTAATATTTTGTTAAAATTGTAAATGTAATAATGTATTTAGGGCTGTCACGATTCCTCGATTCAATTCGAGTATTGATTATAAAAAATCCTCGATTGCATTTTGCCCGTGTCGAGTAACCAGCAAAATACCGGAAGTGGCGCATACCACGGACAAGAATCCATGAAATGCATTATTATACAGATTTCTAAGACTGCATGATATATTAAACCCATTTGAAAATCATAATAAAGCATAGTACTATTGTGAATTCACAAACACTACAATTCAATTAAATAAATAAATGCGATGCAGGTTTAATATATGCGAGCATGCGTGTAGGTTACGTTCGTGCATCTCAGAGCGGCTCCGTTCACAGGAAATGCTGCTCCACACAAACTGCTATCGTTTGCATGTGTGGAGCGTCTCAAACTCCATCTTTGCATATTGCTGTGAGTTTGGGTTTATTATAAGGTTCATCTGGGAACGCAACGTGCACCATTTTATCAGATTAGTAAGGTAAATCATTTATAAACCTATGCCAACATGAGTTTACACGTTTTGATGTCCACATATTCAAGAAATTACAGTGGCTATAGTCTTTTCTGTCGTAAAAAAAAACATTAATCAAATATTAAAGATTAATTGGACATTTTAATTAAATGTTATGTCAATATTAACCCTTAAATGCATGGATGTTTCGCCAATCATTATTACATATTCGGGTCTTTAGCGACCTGGATCTGTATATCTAACACAGATGGTTCTCTAACTGCTGCAAAAACATAAAACTCTCCTGATATTTTGATAACAATTACAAAAGAATAAAATAAAGCATATTTTGTTACATTTTACATGAAACATCACATAACCATTGTGTATCAAACAGTGCCACCTTGAGGAATAAAGGTGAACTGCACTTATTGAGTCATTAGTCGCTCTGCTGCGAACGGCTCGATTTCCTTCGGCGGGTCTGAGGAGGAAGCTGCTGTGGATGACTCTGTGTCATTGACGGCTTCAGATGCAGAAGAGTGTTCTGGCGAAGAACCCAACACCCCTACACCGACTCAAACAACACGGCCCAGCATGGGCAGCAAGATGATCCGCGTCCTAACCAAGGCTGTGGAGGATCTCGGCCTGGCTTGGTTGGCTCCAGAAGAGCCTGCCCACTGCCCTCATGACGAGTGGTACCTGAAGGGACTCCGTCAACAATCCTCCCGCCAATGGCTGCCCTGTTTCTGCTGACAGTTAATGAGGAACTCACCAGGCCTGCCCCCTACTCCGCGCATGTTAATCCCTCTACTTGTGGCCACTCTCACCACTGTTTATGGCTCTGAAGAACAAGGTTATAGCAAGCTCACTCCTCTGGAAGAGGCGGTCGCTGTGCATCTGTGCCCTCCATCGGCCCTGGGGTTGAAAGCCCATGCAGCGCACCCATCTACGCCCTGCAGGACTATCTCAGCCCTAGTGAACAGGGCTTATTCAGTGGCTGGCCAGGCTGACTCAGCGCTTCACACGATGGTGGTGCTCCAAGTGTTCCAGGCTAAACTTCTCCACACCATGGACGAGTCCAGCCAGAGTTCTGATGCCTTCAGAGAGCTGCGCAAAGTGACTGACTTTGCTCTGCTCACTAATAAGGCCACTGTGCAGGTGATCGGCGAGGACATGGCCAACTTGGTGGTGCTGGCTAAATCTAACAGAGATCAGGGACAGGGTCAGTTCTCACCGAGGCTGGAACTCCCTCAAAGAAGTCTCGCACTTGCTCTCCATCCCTCCACTTAACACTGAGCGATGGAAGCTCCATTCAAGCTGCGTCCGTCCTTCCCATTCAGTGCGCACCCAAGCAAACTCCCGCTGTGATAGGAGATCCACATACTCAAAAGAGCATTTCTCTTCTCCTCATTACCACGAATGTCAGTTCCCTGCCTCCGTGCGGCGATCTACCATTCGAGAAACTCAGACCACTTGCCATCCGGTTTCAGGCTTGGAAAGCTATCCTGGATGTGTCAATTTGGGTTCTAAAAGCCATAGAACGAGGCTACTTGCTTCAGTTTGCTCACAGGCCACCTCACTTCAGAGGTATCATTCAAACTACGGTACGGGACAACGATGCTCACGTTCTCCGGTCCAAAGTACAAACACTGCTTGCAAAAGGAGCCATGGAAACGGTTCCTCTAGTGAACAGCGAGTCGGGCTTTTACAGCTGTTACTACCTCATTCCCAAGAAAGATGGCAGGCTCAGACCCATTCTCGATTTCAGGCATCTGAACCACTCGCTCATGAGCCATCAGCCGTTCAAGATGCTGACTTTGAAACAGATCCTCGCGCAAGTATGCCCTGAGGACTGGTTTCTATCAGGGGATCTGAAAGATGCTTACTTTCATATCCAGATAGCCCCCATCTCAGACCATTCTTGAGATTTGCATTCGAGGGAGTGGCCTATCGATATACAGTCCTGCCATTCGGACTGTCTCTGGCCCCACACACTTTTACGATGTGCATCGACGTGGCTCTTTCCCCTCTGAGACAGATGGGAATCCACATTCTGAACTACCTCGACGATTGGCTGGTTTTAGCCAGATCAGAATGGGAACTCATCACTCGCAGGCCGCTGCTGCTCAGCCACCTGGAACGGCTTGGGTTGAGAATTAATTTAGCCAAGAGCTTTTTGTCTCTCAGCCAGCAAGTAGTCTTTCTGGGGGCAGTTATTGATTCTGCCCGGTTGCGGGCATGGATTACGTCAGTTGAGACTGACCTCCAGAAGGAAGGTGGTTACGACATATGCCTCCAACTCAGGTTGGGGAGCCCTATACGAGGGTGGACTGGCATTCGGCTCCTGGTAAAACCGGGAGCAACGCTTACACCTCGTCCTGGTCCGTTCGGACAACATGACGGTGGTAGCCTTTATCAATCGACAAGGCGGTCTCAGGTCACATTCCCTTCACAGGAGGCTTGACGCATCCTTTTATGGGCACAATGCTGAGAGCAGTTCATGTGCCAGGCAGACTGAACCAAGGGGCAAACATGTTGTCCAGGGACAATGGGGCTCCAGGAGAATGGAGACTACATCCCCAAATGGTTCAAATTATCTGGTCTGTCTTCGGCAAGGCAGAGGTGGACCTCTTCGCCTCAGAAGACAACTTTCACTGCCCAATTTACTTTTCGATACAGCGAGATGCCCTGGCCCACGATTGGCCCAGCGATTGCCAGGGAAGTCAGATATTCGGTCCTCTTGGTGGCCCCACTCTGGAGGAATCAGATATAGTTCCCTGAGTTGATTCAGCTGCTATCGGCAGCCCCTTGGCCGATACAACTGAGGACTGACCTTCTCTTGCAAGCGAAGGGCATGATTTGACATCCCTGGCCAGAGCTGTGGAGCCAATTACTCAATTACCAAAATAATCGTTAGTGACAGCCCTAAATGTATTATTAATTTGTGAATTATTTATCATTAAATTAATATCTATCTATCTATCTATCTATCTCTCTCTCTCTCTATATATATATATATATATATATAGAGAGAGAGAGTTATGAGGACATTTCTGAATTAAATATTCTGATAAGGTCATGTGATATCAGCTGTAGTATATTACTGTTTTAAAGCATTTATTGTTATTTAGTGTGTGCTACAGTAAGCAGTACACTAGTATGCTATATATACACTAGTATACATATGATATCACTGTTATTCCCCTAGCTGATGGTGTGTTTGTGCTTTGTGTGTAACAGGACTCTTTAGCTGCTGAAATTGAAGGCTCCATGAGAAAAGAGATTCAGATGTCTGATCCAGACATAGAGGAACAAAGGTGTATTAGTGTTTCATTTCCTGTGTCCTGCCTATGTCCCATATCCTGCATGAGTTAAGAATTTGCATTCAGAGTCAGTTTCAGAGCAATATAACATATATTCTAATCTCTGTTACAAGGCACTGTATGTTTAAAATGTTTTCCTATTATATTTTCATCAGTTTAGCTTACTGGTTAAAGATCTGAGCGGATAATCGAATGGTTGTAGGTCCAAATCATCTAAGGATGGCATTGTAATCCATCTAAACTTTTTAAGGAGAGTAAGGAGAGAGAGAAAAAACCTTTCGCATGAACCTCTGTACATTCTTGTCTTCTCTTTTTGTTCAGGTTGCACCCTAAACGTGTCTTTGAGACAGTGCGTAACATCAACCAGACTGTTCGGCTGTGCTCCATGGGCCCGTCCCCCATGAACATCCCAGGGTCCAATCAGACATCCTGTACGAATTCCAGGCATTCTAGTTGTCTGAGCACACCCCGTTCGAGCATGTACGGAGGGGACGGTGTTGAAATGGACAACCGCACTAACAGTATGCTGATGGAAACCCAATCACATCAGGACGGGTAAGAGCATCAAACGCGGTTTTAAACCATAAATGTTTCAGCAGTATGATAGAAATGTGTTGTGTGTTTTCTTAACTATAGTTTGGGGACATTTTTTTTCTATTTGAGGACCTCCAGGGACATCATTTGGAAAAATGACATGGTTACAATTAGTTACAAATTTTTAATAAATGATAATAACTGAGCACCAAATCAGTATATTAGATTGATTTCTGAATAATAATGTGTCACTGAAGATTTCCATCACAGGGATAAATTATTTATAAAATGTATTACAGCAGAAAATCATTATTTTAAATTTTGTGTGTATGTATGTATGTGTATGTGTATGTTTTTTTTTGTTTTGTTTTTTTGCACTATTCCTGTTTTTAGTTATTTATGATCAAATAAATTCAACCTTGGTGAGCATAAAATACTTTCAAAAACATTAAACAGTCTTTAAATTATTTTTTTATATATATATATATATATATATATATACAGTATATATATCATGTTATACGTTTTAGAGAAAAAAGTTTTGTTTAGTTTAATCTGTAGTAACTATAACTACTATATTGATTATTGATTCGTCTTTAAAAACTCCATATCCATTTTTCCGAACTTGTAGATTGACTTTAGTGTAACTAGTGTTCTATTTATTTATACAAAAAAAAAAGAGAGAGAGAATATTAGCCTTTTATCATATATTGCAGTTATACTGTAACATGAAAATAATTATCAGCTTACATATTTGCACTGGCAAGAATTATATTGATTTGTTGGTTCTATTTTATATTTGTAAGTTCTTCATTAGTGGACATTGGACCACACTGTATTGTTTGAATCTTTTTCTGTAATATTTGTTCCAGCTCTGATGACTCCAACAGAAAGCCTGGCACGCCTGGCACACCCGGCTCTCGTGACCTGGAGGCGGCACTGCGTCGTCTTTCCCTTCGACGGGACAACTACATTAGCGAGCGGCGTTTCTTTGAGGAGGAGAGAGAGCGTAAACTCAACGCCCTGGCAGAAGAGAAGAGCGAATTATACGAGGAGAGAGATGGTGGGAGTGGCAGTGAAGACGGCGGCCCCCTCACTCCGGCAGACAGCATCATGTCTCTGGGCACCCTGCACTCGGTTTACTCCATCTACAGCGTCCGATCCTACCTGCCGGAGAAACTCCAGATCGTCAAGCCTCTGGAAGGTGACCGAGCCAAGTCCAGGCCTTTCACCCTCTTATTGTTTGATGCTCTGTGGGCATTAATGCACCACAGTGCTGAAGACCTGTCTACACAACACTCCTTCTATTTCAGACACACACAACCTCGCTGCTGGTTTGAGATTTAGACACGTCACACTATATACACACTACTGGTCAAAAGTTTGGAATGTAGAAGAATTTTTTTTATGTTTTTAAAAGTCTCTTATGCTCACCAAGGCTGTGTTTATAAGAAATGCAATTAAAAACAGTAGTATTATGAAATATTATTAATTCAAAATAACTATTTTCTATTTTAATATATTTTAACATATAATTTATTCCTTTGATTTTCAGCAGCCATTACTCAAAACGTCAGTGTCACGTGATCTTTCAGAAATTATTATTATATGCTGATTTGGTGCGTAAAACATCTGTTATTATCAATGTTGAAAATATTTTTTGCTGCTTAATATTTTTGTGGAAACCATGATGCACTGCCATTGAAATGTTTGGACCAAGTAAAATTTAAAAAAGAAGAAAGAAAAAAATACTTCTATTAAGCAATAATGCTTTCAATTTATAAAAATGCTTTTGAATTTATAAATACATTTATAATGTTAAAAAATATTTTTATTGTAATCAAAAACACTTCTAAATTATAATCAAATTTCACAATATGACACACATACCACAAATGTTTTTACTGTTTAGTTGCTGTTCATATAACTGATCATTTAAATGCAGTCTTGTTGAGCGTAAGAGACTTTTCAAAAACATAAAAACTGTAATTATTCCTGTTTTGTGTGTGTGTGTGTGTGTGTGTGTGTGTGTGTGTATATATATATATATATACACATGCACATAGAACTGCATTTGAAAATTAGGATTTAATGTGAGGAGCACAACTCTATCCATGATGCACTTTTTTTTTTTTTCATAGAGGTAGTAGTACTAAGGCGTATTTTAAAATGGTGTTTTTCATTTACAAAAAGTTAGAAACATGCTTCTTCAAAGCTTATCTTTCACTTATTGTTTTATGTGGAGTTTATTATCTTCACGTCAACAACAGGGTCACTGAATTAATTTAGCTTTGAATAATAGGGCTGCAACAGTTTGTCATGTTCTTCAGTTTTAGATAAGTGTTAACTGTAAACCACTCACAGCCTTATGATTCATAATCATATCTCTAGCTACCTCTGCTCGTTATAGTTAAAAGATAAACTAGGCAGTGTGACATAGCCTACCCATTAGTAAAGGTTATTAGGAATTGCAGAAAACTCAAATGCATGTTAACAAATGATCAATGCTCTGATTTCGTTAGCACCTTTGAGTATGTTTTAAAAGGTACTGACAGGAAATCTAATAGATTAGCTCCAGAGAAAGGGCTTTTGAGGAATAGTTGGCTCAAAAAATGTAATTCTATCATTCACTCACCTTTATGACATTCCAAACCTGTATGAATTTCTTTCTTCTGCTGAACACAAAAGAGTTCATTTTAAAGAATGTTGGTAACCAATTCATTTTGCTTACCATTGATGGAAAAAAACAGCCATTTCTTTCAAAATATCTTCTTTTATAATTCCACAGAAAACTCATACAGGTTTGGAACAGTATGAATTTTCATTTTTTGGGTGAACTATACATTGCTATATCTGTTTACTCCCTTCGTTTCTGTCAATTTTAAGTTTGTGTGTTTGCATCCTTCTTTTGTTTTCTTATCTTTTCATTTTCTTACCTGTCTGTTTTTAGTTCTCTAATAAACACAACGTTAATTTATCCCTCCTTCTTTTCTCTTTCTTTGTTTTAGTCTGTCCACAGCAAGAGTCAATGTGTATTACAGCTTTGGTTATGTATCATGAAATTTTCAAGGGCACAGATTGTATTTAAAATAAAATGGACTACATGCAAAGTTAATTAAATCCAAGACTACAGTACATACTATAATCTGAAATAACACCCCTAATTAAAATGACTAAATTATTAATATTAAATAGTTTAATATGTATTTATGATCATGTTATCAGTTAAATATGTATTTGCTGAACATCTGGACATAGAATAGAATAGAATAGAATAATAAAAACACATATTAAGTAATTTGTTAGATTATAATTTTATCCCTAAAATGGAATGGAATGCAGGCATACCTTACATTACAAAGACTCACATATCAGTTCTATGTCTATATCTAAAAACTATGTATTTTATCTCAATATTACAGAGTTGCTAAAGTGCTACATTTTTCTGGACTAGCCATTTTAGCAGCATTTACATTACTGAACAGAAACCCAATATTTAGATCATGTCATGATGCGTTCATTCTTTCCTCATTTCTTTCGGAATGCATAAAATGCTAATCTGAAAACTTTTATGTCACACTTGATGCATGTCACCTTGCGTTCATGATCTCAGAGTGTTCTCGGTGTTCTGTGGCATTTGCTACAGTTTGTATCTGATCTTCGCTCTCGTTTCCGCTACCCATCAGGTTCGGCCACTCTGCACGCATGGCAGCAGCTCGCTCAGCCACACCTGGGTGGCATCCTGGATACACGGCCGGGCGTCGTGACCAAGGGCTTTCGACCACTGGAGCTGGACCTGGAAGAGGTGTACCAATTCACTGACCTGGAGGAAGATGAGCCAGGACAGCATTCCCAATCTGCCATCTCTACCTCTTGCCTGGGCTCTCTGCCTTGTTCACCTGCTTTGCGACGACCTCGTGCCAACAATACTGATAACCAGGAAGAGCAGCTCAGAGAAAATGGAGGGACCCCTGGAGTGGGGTCAGATCGAATGGAGGCTGTAGAGAAGGAGGTCTTATCTGGTGAGGGACCCTCGTAACCCCACTAACCCTCTGGACAGGCTTAGGGGGAGGGAACATAAGGCCTCACTGTAAAACAGACAATGGCCTAGTGGAGTACCCATAAGCCCCAGTTGTATTGTGCCTGTGAGGGTCTAGGATGAGCTGCTTCTCTCCTCGTTCAGCTGCAGGCACACACCCACTGCACATCATCCACTCACCCTGAAGACAGCTGCCATATTCTTTTGAGTATAGTCATTTTTTAACATTTTACTGTCATTCTGCCTGTCAGTCATTTCTCTGGCTCTTCGTGCTGAAAAATGAGAATTGAGCTTTTGGAAATTCTTGAATACATGTTGAAAAATGCTTTAAATATTAATAAATAAAAAATAAAATAACAATACATATTAATAAATAATATTTTTGTATCAAAACTGAAATGTTTTGCCATTTAATTTTAATTAAATGTATTACTAAATACAGTTTAATAATATAATTCAACAACATAATATAATTTTATAATTATGTTTATATACCATTTACATATAGAATTATACTAATATACTACATGTATTGTATTATAGTAATGGGCAATCTGAATTATCCTAAAATATGCTTAATGTATGTTTATTCATATATATGGAGTACCCATAAGCCCCAGTTGTATTGTGCCTGTGAGGGTCTAGGATGAGCTGCTTCTCTCCTCGTTCAGCTGCAGGCACACACCCACTGCACATCATCCACTCACCCTGAAGACAGCTGCCATATTCTTTTGAGTATAGTCTTTTTTTTTTTACATTTTACTGTCATTCTACCTGTCAGTCATCTCTCTGGCTCCTTGTGCTGAAAAAATGAGAATTGAGCCTTTGGACTCACTCTAGAATGAAGTAAAATACTTTAAATATTAATAAATAATAATAAATGTTAATAAATAATATTTTTGAATCAAAATAAATTGGTATTTTTTTGCAGTTACATTTTAATTTAATTCATTACTAAATACAATTTAATAACAATTCAATAACAACATAATTGAATAATTATATTCATATACAATTGACATATATGTAATATGCAGCATATATTGTATTGTAGTAATGGGCAATCTGAATTATCCTAAAATATGCTTTATTTCTATTTATTTTATATGTATTCATTCATTTATTTATTTATATAATTTTATACATTTATTTACTTTTTTTCTTTTTTTTTGCAGATCCAGACATGGTCTTGACAGGCTTTCATTTATCCTTTAACAATTCACACCAAATCATTGATATTATATAAAATTGGTAGCTCTACTCTTATACTTATACTTACAAATATGAGTGTGATAATAAGTGATATTTAGTATTAGCTTCTAGACTCAATTCTCATTTTCAGCACTAGTTAATTTCCTAAAGACTCCTCTCAGTCACTCTTCTTACCTGCATTACCAGAGTTTAACGCCTGGGGGGAAAAAAGACATTTATTTACTACTCACTCTCTCCACACACTTGTCCCCTGATAAACCTGTATGTGAGCACAGAGTGTGATGTTTGAAATTAAACTGTACATCACACATGCACATCCCTGGATGCATTTAACACACA